CATTATGCTCTGTAATTGGAAAGCAACCCTATTGAATTTTGAAGATCAGATGGTAGAAAGAAAAAAAGGTTAAATGATGCATACCCTTTTACCGGTTTTTTTAAGCGTCTAGAAGCTTTCAAAAAAGGAAAAAAAATGTCAATTGGGACCGATTCTGGCGTTACATTCTCTAAACCTAAACTTAAAATTAGAGAGCTAATTTTAGTTTAGGTTTAGAGAATTGGTATTCTGAAATTGCGGACTAACTAAATTAAGAACACAGTTGACAGCTGTAAACGAGCATCTAAATTGAATTCACAGATTACGTAAAAGCATTGAACCGGTAATTATCGGTTTACTCAAATTAGCAATAATTGGTTGCTTTCCAATTACAGAGCATAATGCGACTCAGTGCCGCACAATGCTGAATTATGCTGATGCTTAATTGGAACGTGAATTAGTTTTCAAATGCACCAGCAGTGCGCGCTAAGTTCAGTGTTGAAAAAAAAAGTCAATGTTTGAACCTTCATCCATACTTATATTTATTTTTTTAACAGTTTGAATTAACTTTAATTATTTAAAAAAACTATTTAATAAAACGAAAGCTTTAATAATTTTTCATGAATGAATAATATAACTAACGATAACATATAAATAAAACATTTCGATCAATGCCAACTTAAAGAAAAAACACTTGTTAATTTTCTGTCTCTGAGTTGGTACAATTGCACGCATCACACGAAAGCATTACTTTTGAGAGTGCTCAATTGTGCGAAGCGTTGCAGTAGTTGGAACATTCAACGTTAAGATTTATGCCACATAATGCTTTAGGGTACGGGGCCAGAGTGCACTCAGATTCAGACTCCGAAAACAAGCGCGAGAAATAAACAGTCTAGTTAAAGCAGGGTGGCCATAGTGGCAGCAGGCAACCTGCTTAGACTACACTGTTTATTTCTCGCGCTAGTTTTCTGAGTGTGAATCTGAGTGCACTCTGGCCGTACCCTTACGTTGAGTGTTTCAACTACAGCAACGCTTCGCACAATCGAGCACTCTGAAAAGTAATGCTTTCGTGTGATGCGTGCAATCGTACCAACTCAGAGACAGAAAATTAACAAGTGTTTTTTCTTTAAGTTGGCATTGATCGAAATGTTTTATTCTTAAGTTTTCGTTAGTAATATTATTTATTGCAAACAAACTTTAAAAAATTAAATATAAATATGGATGAAGGTACAAACATCGACATTTTTTTCAACACTGAACTTAGCGCACTCTGCTGGTGCATTTGAAAACTAACACCCATATTCTTAGTCGTTTCCTCGAGATTTTTTCCACTCGACTCAACCTCATTGGAGGAAATTCGTATGCTTAGACAACAAAAATATCCTTCACTTGAGATATTCCTCACTTGAGTGGAGGTCGAGTCGAGGAATAAACTGTCAAACTCAAGGTAGCTCTCGACGTACCTTAAGGCTTCCTCGAGTGGTGTTTTCAAGTTGCTTTTATCGAGAATAACATCGTGATACTTTTTTTGGTTTTCTAGTATTATGCGCGATTTAACATACTAACCTCAGAATTTGTAGCCAAATATATCGACCCAAATTTTCCTAGTGACACCTCAACGTTGCCGTCTGATTTTGAGATTATTGCCGAATTTGTGGATTTTATGGATTAAGTATACGATTTATTTATTTATTTATTCAGTAACACATACACGATGATTAACCATATAATTATCCGGCGCGACGGTATTTACGTGATGCCGCAAATCCTTTTAAGGTTTACGACAATGATTCGTTTCAAAGAAGATTTCGGTTTAGAAAAGTAATATTATACATACAAGTAATATTTCCTCTGTTAACCATTATAGAAATAAAATCCTCCAAATGATGACGTCACAATGTTGAGGAATTCTCAGTGGAGGAATTCTCAAGTTTGTTCAAGATACCAACTAGAATACCATTTTCGAGGTTATTTGGAGGAACTCCTTAAGGAGCCCTCGAATGAGTTTGACACCCATATTCTTAGTCGTTTCCTCGAGATTTTCTCCACTCGACTCAACCTCATTGGAGGAAATTCGTATGCTTAGACACCAAAAATATCCTTCACTTGAGATATTTCTCACTCGAGTGGAGGTCGAGTCGAGGAATAAACTGTCAAACTCAAGGTAGCTCTCGACGTACCTTAAGGCTTCCTCGAGTGGTGTTTAAGGTGTTTTAAAGTTGTTTTTATCGAGAATTATGTCTGATTTTGAGATTATTGACGAATTTGTGGATTTTATGGATTACGTATACGATTTATTTATTTATTCAGTAACACATACACGATGACGAACCATATAATTATCGGGCGCGACGGTATTTACGTGATGCCGCAAACCCTTTTAAGGTTTACGACAATGATTCGTTTCAAAGAAGATTTCGGTTTAGAAAAGATACAGATGTCGATTCTAGCATGATTCTCTAAACCTAAACTTAAATTTGACCACAGTGTATTCTTGTCATTCTCTATACAAAATGTAAAGGATAGACTGATGTTAAATTTAGTTTTAAGTTTACAGAATCGTGCCAGAATTGATCCCACAGTCATACAAGTAATATTTCTTCTGCTAAGCATTATAGAAATAAAATCCTTAAAAATGATGACGTCACACTGTTGAGGAATTCTCAGTGGAGGAATTCTCAAGTTTATTCAAGATACCAACTAGAATACCATTTTCGAGGTTATTTGGAGGAACTCCTTAAGGAGCCCTCGAATGAGTTTGAGTCGAGGAACGTTTGAGGACGCGACTAAGAATATGGGTGTGAGTCGAGGAACGTTTGAGGACGCGATTAAGAATATGGGTGTAAGTCACGTTCCAATTAAGCATCAGCATAGTTCGGCATTGTGCGCTACTGCTTTGCATTATGCTCTATAATTGGAAAACCACTATTATTTATTATTCAGTCATTTTGACTTATTTCAGTAATTCTTTATTGATCTTCTAATCTTTGAAATATGGTAACTTAGCTTAAGTTTGATATTTTACTGTATGAGAAATTATGAATTAATATTAAAGAGTGAATACTTGCCTACTCTGTGGTACTTAGGGTTTCTAGATTGGGAGTATTTATCCTTATTTAGGAGGAAAATAAGAACTTGGAGAAATTAAATCTGGGGGGAGAACTTTAGGAATGAAAATGAGAAAAAAAATTTACTCGAGCGCGTCAGATATTCACAGGGGATGTTAAGTGAGCCTAAATCCTTTAGGGATGGGACATTAAAAGAATAAACAATTCTTAATGAATGAACATAATGTTTGTTTATAATGAAATTAAAAAGTTTCATTTTTAAATATCTATCAGATTTATATCTTTAGTTCTAATAATTTCTATCGGATACAAAATTCTTATATATAACATACAATGATTTTTTTGTAAATTATATTGCAAAAATCTTGTAAACTGCGTTAAATTCCTTTGATCGGATACCTTTCCTACATTTAATAAATATTACCCCCCTTTATGATAGCAATAAACGCAGTGTTTTTGACAAAATACTGCGTTACTGGTAATTGCTTCCAATAAACATATAATGCATTAAGTATAAAATGGTGTCGATTCTGGCGTGATTCTCTAAACTTAAAACTAAATTTAACATCAGTCTCTCCTTTTCATTCTGTATAGAGAATGACAAGGATACACTCTTGTCAAATTTAAGTTTAGATTTAGAGAATCGTGCACCATAATTTCAGCATTTTAAATTAAATTATTCATATTACCCTACAATGTACACTGTCTTGATATGAAAACATCGATATGAAAAATGCATTGAAGGGCGACAATATCGGCAAAGAAACTGCTTTAAATATTAATAAAATACACTATCAAAACCCACAGAAATACGTAGTTAATGGTAAATTCTGCATGAATTATTCACAAAATATGTATACGAAAGGCAAACTATAAGGCATTTATTGTATTGTTTGGTATATTCGCATAATAAAAATACGAACCGGTGTAATTATGTTTTGTCGAATTTTGCCTTTTTTAATGCCACAATTTTTATTTTTTTTAAACAATCAAAGTTAATTCAAACTGTTAAAGGCCGATCCACATTCGCACGCGAGCCACGGCGCGAATAGCAGCGCGAAGCGCGGCGCGAATCGCGGGGAGATTGCCAACAGTCTACACTCGCAGTTTCGCGCCGGGCTTCACAGTATAGTTCGCGCTCTTGACGAGTATACACGTCAAATTTTAAAGTTTATTTGTAAGTAGTAGGTATGGACAGTGAAACCACTACAGCAGGTGCTTTACTACTTTGCGCTTTGGCAATTTATAGTTATGCCTTAAAGAAAAAACGAATAATTCAAAAGAAGCACAGAAAACGGAGATGGTGGATTACCACCATTCACCGAAACAGAACCAGGTGAGTACCATACCAACTTACTTTGTGATCAGGGGGATATATACTTATTTATTATGTACGTAGTACCTATTACAAGATGGGTGAAACCGATATATTTTACTTTTAACTATGTAAAATTAAACTTTTAATAGCTTTGTCTTTTGTTACAGTGCAACTATGGACAAGCTTTTAAATGAACTAATTGCAGAACCATCAGATGAATTCAAAAAGTTTTCCCGGATGTCATTAAATGATTTTGAAAATTTGCTTAACCGAATTTCAAGACAAATTTCAAAGCAAGACACCCAATTACGAAAAGCTATTCCTGCCCGGATACGTCTTGCTATAACACTGAGATACTTAGCAACAGGAGATAACTATGGAAGCCTTCATTTTTTGTTCAAAGTTTCACCACAAATAATATCAGAAATTATACCAGAAGTTTGTCATGCCCTATGTGAAGTGTTGGAGAATGAAATAAAAGTAAGTTTTATAAATCAAACACATTTAATATGCATAGATAGAACAAAATCTTAAATCTAGAATAGAATTTTGCAATATCAACCAAATACTTCACACACTTGTCTTCAGGACTTTTATTTTAAAGCAATAAAAACCAAATTCGGTGATATCAGTAATTAACTTAAGTCAAAAGCTGTCTGAACTATATCTATATTTTGATTAGATGTATTAGCATCTTGGTTCTCTGATATATGAAGGACAGGATAATCTGGTGAAGAAACAAGCTGGTGGGATCGAAAGATGATATTAGAAGCTGGGACTGATATTACTTGTCTGTTTTGGTAATGAGCATTTTGATTCGCCTGTCCATATTGCAATGGAGGCTCTGAATGCGTAGACGATGGGCCCGGTCTTATGGTTTGGTAATGAGTATTTTGATTCACTCGTCCATACTGCAATAGAGGCTCTGAATGCGTAGATGATGATGTGCCCGGTCTTGGTTCAAATTGAGGTGGCGTTGGAGACATCACAGGGTCATCATATTGGTATCGTAAATACATGCCGTCAATGTCGTGCATCAACTGCAATTTGTTCTTTTCAGATAATTTTCGCAACTTATTCGCTAATAATTTTCCGTATAAATCGCAATCATCCTCTTGCTGGACAGGCTGTGATGGATTCCTTTTTAGCGTGGATTTAAAGATGGCAAGAGCGTCTTTAACGATGTTTCCTGCTTCAACCAGTTCCGTAGAGGTTTTGTGTCGGCGGATTGTCTGGTCGCTGTCTTTTTGGTTTTTCTTAGACTGACTTCGATTTTCATTGTTGTCAACATTCTCTTCAGTTGCTTCGAGATTTGCTTCTGTAGGCTGTTTCTCCCCAGTTTCCTAAAAAAACACACATACATTTAGGTACCTAGATACATTACTGTTTTTTATGAAGGTTCTATATATGTTATCTTTTTTGCAGATGCCATCTTGTCCAGACGAATGGCTGAGTATTGCAAGAGGATTTGAAAGGAAGTTTCCTCGAGCGATTGGTTCTATTGACGGCAAACATATTGTTCTCGACTGTCCATTTGATTCTGGTTCGGCATACTATAATTATAAAAGAACCTACAGTATAGTATTACTGGCATTAGTTGACAGTCAATACAATTTCATATTTGCTGACATTGGTTGCCAGGGCAGGATAAGTGACGGAGGAGTTTTTACAAATAGTATTTTATGGAACAAGATCTGTACAAACAGCTTAAATTTACCACCACCGCAACCTTTACCAGGTTCAAATATTGATGTGCCATATGTTTTTTTGGGGGAGCACAACATAGGATCAGCAGAACGTAAATTCAACACAAGATTATCTTCGGGTCGAGTGGTGGTAGAAAATACTTTTGGTATATTGGCGGCCAGATTTAGAGTGTTTAGAAAACCAATTCCGTTACAACCAGAAAAGGCTAGCCTTATAACATATACTTGTATACTACTACATAACTTCTTAAGACGAAGTTCTACTTCTTCACAAATCTATACCCCACCCGGATCTATTGACTTGTACGATGACGATGGAGTACTTATACAACCTGGATCATGGAGGACAAATCAAGATAATAACTCCGCTTTTCGTAACTTGCGGACAGTACCTCGGCGACCAGCAAATAACGCCGTAGAAATAAGAAAGGAATTCACAAAATATTTGAGTAATATTTAAGTACCTAGCTGTTATAATTTGGACCACAGATTTATCGGTTGACGTTTGCTGTCAAGTTGACACGACTGTCTTGATTTGCCGCGCTTTTCCCGTACGGCATTGCTTGCATTACACTAACTTTTGTAAAATGGTTTTATGCTTAATAACCATATGTGAATTGAAAATATCCAGTGGTTTACTTTAAATACAAACCTGATTTTACATTAGCTAATAAAAATAAAATTACCTACTTACCGTATTCATATTTTTTTTACAAGTCAGGGTATCTCCCAAAAAAACATTCATTGCTTCGTAAGCAAACCAAGTAGGCTCATATATCTCATCGGCACCAGCTCCCGATTGAACAGACTTCTTAACTTTCCCCTTGTAGCTCCTATAACTTGACATGAGAGAATCCTTTTTCTTTTTCAATTCATCTACTGGTATTTCCATCACAGTACTTATCCGCATCCAAGCATCATGCTGTTTCAGTTTATTTTTATAGTTTTTCAATTTAACATCCCATAATACCGGCTCAGCACGAAAACATTCAATAAGTGACAGTTCTAGTTCGTTATTCCACACGACACTCATTTTGCGTCCGATATTCAAATCCGAAAACACAACCGTCCGTGGCAATAGCTACTGAGCTACTAACCCGCGAATGTGGAGTCTTGTCGTGTTCACGCGCACTTCGCGCCTGCGAGCCCTTTGTCGCGGGACAAAATACCGACAATTTTCGGGGAACGAGCCGCGAAGCCGCGAAGAATATGCGAATCGAATCCACACTCATGCTTCGCGGATGCGCCGCCTTAAGTATGGATGAAGGTACAAACATTGACTTTTTTTTTCAACACGGAACTTAGCGCACTCTGCTGGTGCATTTGAAAACTAATTCACGTTCCAATAGGGAAGATGCAATATTTTTATTTTTGTTTTCATTTTAAAGAATTCCATGTAGAATAAACCACAGATATATTAAAAAATTGAAACATTGTGATTTATCGGAAAAAATGCGGTTTTAAATTGACAATTTAAATTTTCGCGCGAAAACGAACCTATGGTTGCGATGACGTCACTCCTGTCTGTCACTGGTCGTAATTGTTCGTTGCTGGCTTTAAATTTTCATACTTACTTTTGCATATTTTTTCGACTTTCGAAATATTTTTTTGAAAAATTTAAAATGGACTACCCATCGACATCATGTGATCATAACAATACCACTAATATTCCGAAAAAAAGCCGTGTTGACTCATGTTTTGTGCCAATCTACTTCAACAAAGTTCCCAAATAAATTGTTTTTGACTGGAACTTCTGACCCAAAACTGAAAAAAAAGTGGTTTCAAGCTGCGAAGAGAATGACAATTATTCTCCAAAGACCATTATTCGATGTTGAGAAGATCACTTTGACGTAAGTCGGCGAATATACTTGTTATATGCTTAATTAATCTGCTTGTACGTAAACCTACCTAATACTTACAAAACCTGTCTATAACATATTTTTAATTTTATAGTTGGAGAATGACGTCGAAAATTAGATAAAGTTTAAAATGTGTGGCACAATATTCACATTGGCAGGACTAAACCAAGCTTTGCGTTTCATTTAAAATAACTGTAACACGATAACCATCTTTACGTACTTTATGCTCCGGAGAACTCGACCTTTTACTGTACATAATTTTCCATCTCTTTTAATTTGGACATAGCCGATTGCATTATCGCCGTAAAATTTGTAGAAGCCGCTGAATAAAATACGAAGTTTAACATTTACGATTTTTACATACCGTAGTAATTTGTTCCCTTTCATTTCTACACTTAAAAACTCTGCACTTTGGACAAAAAAAGTTATAACCATGTCAACGCTAACTCTTGGTAAATTCTGGAGTCTGCTTTGATAAACGCAACTTTCATTTTTATTAAATGTAAAAAAACGCAATAAATATTCCCATAAAATAATATTTACTATAACAACCATAACCTCAAAGAAGTTGTCATAACAGAAGTGACGTCACTAAACGCTGATTGGTGTTTTAAAATACGTTCCGTTTCAAGTATTTTTAATTCGTAATAATTGTTAAAAAACAACATTATGTAAAATAAAAACGTTGCAGTGGCATTTCTTTTATATTTTTTTAACATTTTAATGATAAAATTTTCATAAATATTTTATATGCATCTTCCCTATTAAGCATCAGCATAGTTCGGCATTGTGCGGCACTGAGTCGCATTATGCCCTGTAATTGGAAAGCAACCTATGTCTCCACACGCTCGAGTAAATCCCCATTTAGCATCGTGGGTTCCCCTCACAGACTAGTTAGAGATACTCCTACTATTTACTCCGTAACTCTAAATTAGGTAGTGTAAACATCGCATTACTGTTTTTTTTAATTCTTGATACGTCCGATAAGGGGCTTAATCAAAGGGCATATTATGTTCATGTTTTCATAGTTTGACAATGACGTTTAATTTGTTTGTTTACAGTTTTCCACCGGATATTGGACTAAAAAAATTTCAATTATTTTTTTATAATTCCCTTACGTCTTAACTTTAAGAAGTAAAATTATTTGCGTATCTTTTAAAAAGGATAGAGGTATAATTCACTTCGGTATGGATCACGTGAATGATAATTTAGAAGCAGTGAAGCTGATAAATATAAGGGGTAGTGTTGAGAATGTTACCCCACACAAGATTGCAGTTGTAGCTTTTATTCGCGAGTATGGGCTTTTGAAAATTGAAGGTATGTTTTACTATGGTCAGGATATTTTGGGTCTCAAATCTTTATACTTATAACATAGTAAGAATGGAATCTTGATATCTATTACTTAATTTTAGAAAGATTCTAAATCTTTAACTTCTTTAAATTAACAAGCTTCGGGTATAACCTGGAGTGGTACTGCGAATTATATTCTGAACAAATCTGAAGTAATTTAAACCTTAATAGTTTTGTTCACAATCAAATTTGGACATTTTATGGTATCCTGATGAGTTTGTTTTCTTAATTAAACAAATTATTGGTGATATTCTGTAGTTCAGATTACAGAACCAAAGGCAGATGGAGCCCACGGAACCTGCAATGCGTGGCACCATAGCAAATCAAAGTTCAAAGTGAATATCAAATTGGTTTCAGTATACCACAATGCATCCTGTTTTAAATATGCCCAGTGAACATGAAGTTTTCATCAAAACTGTGCTGTCTCATTCAAACATTGTAAAAACTGTTCACAAGGACAAAAAAAGTCTTTAATTTTGTCTCTGTATTAGCCTTTCTGCTATACATTCCAAATTGGAACCATGTTAGAAGTTATTATTGAGGCATTACCAAAAATATTTTTAATTCTTTCAAAATATACCTTAACTTACTACTACTACAAAATTTCAGAAAAACAGAAAGAAGACTGTGTTGTTGCACCTAAGTATAGGAAAGATTTTTGTATCTTGTCATTGAAGCTTATTCAGGTCAGCAATATTAATTATTAAGTTACTAATTTTGAAAACACAAATATTGCTAACATTTTTTATTTAATAAAACAAACATAATTTATGTTTCAGTGTCCAGACATGGAGTTCAAAGAGCTGGAGGCTCTCCTTACTGATGGACGTTATAATTTGTTGAGTGTTCATTTACAGAACTTTTGTGTTCGACTTCAAAACATTTATGTAAATGGAATTAGTGCTCTCATGGATTGTGTGACTTCAACTGTAGATAAATTAATGATAGAACCTAATGAAACCAATCCTTGTGTAATAACAAGATACAGTGTTTTAGGTAAAATTGCCCAGCACATACTATTTTATTTTTATTGTTAATATAACTTTCCTTAAGACTCATCTACCCTGTTAAGGTGTTGTCCAACAGCCTGTGTTGTCGCGGGCGTGACCGCGCTGCGCAGGGTTGCGTTGCGCAACGTTTGAGATTTAGCAGTCTATACATGATATGAGGTAAATAGAAATCTCGTTCTGCGATTGCCTCCTCGACAACACAGACCATCGGACAGCACCTTAAGTGAGTGATGTCCATTATGCAGATTTCATTATATGTCTATTTACAGCAATAGACATAGTTTAGATATAGTTTTTCTGATGTACATACAATTTTAATTTGGTTGTTTTGATTAGAAAACTGTCAATATTTAGAAATTTCCATGTTTCTCTTTACAATTTTTGCATTCCTACGCTTATGGTGTAAGGCTATAATAAATTAACACCACCAACACTCAGGTGTGTGCTTATTCTAATGGATATGCATGTTTTAACTGTTTTCTTAAACTGAAATGGGCTTCATTTTTATGGTTTTTATTTTGCAGGTTTTTACCTAAGGAGAATATTGCTCCATTTAGACAAAATGACATTCATGCAAGTAGTGTCATTGTATAAATCTTTTTGTTTGTATTATCAAAAGGGTCGACCAGGATTAATGATGAGATCTTTGAGTAAAGAGGTAATACTTAGATAGCTCCACTCAGAGACGTCATTTAAATTTAATGCTTGTCAAAGTTAAATGTATATTATTGTATAGCTAACAGGAAGAAAATCAATCAAAATTGCTCAAAAATGTTCAAAGTTTGATCATAATTATAAATTATTTTATGTCCCGAGTGCAGATGACGGTGAATATTTGTCACTAGTAGCCATTTAACAGAATATAAACTAACAGATTAAAGTAGTATATATTTACTATATTCAGGTGTGAATGTCGATTAACCTGAGAAATTAACACTTTCAGAAACTAAATAATGTGGAGTCACAGACCACTTCAGCCATATCAGCTCATCCTGAAGAAGCAAAGTCTCATGAATTTTCTATGAAGATGAATATAATAGATAAAGATAAGTTAGTGTAAAATTTTATTTGAAGAAACCTTATGCTAGTCGCAAGAATATTATAGCCAATTGTAGTTTGATTAGGCATAACATATTATTATTTTGATGTAACAACATGAAAAAAATAACAATCAGTTCAAAGGACCAGATGTTTTTATAAACCTGACTAATAACAGAACTCAGGGAAGTTTATTAACTTTAAAAATTGATGCTGTTTCTTTCTTAATAGATGAGACAACACATGACTTATTGAAAGCTTCAACATATGACTTATTAAAGCTTTCAATAAGTCATGTGTTGTCTCAGAATACTGTGTCAGGATTGAACAAAACGCTTTGAGTAGCATTAGTCTAGGTTCTACTTTACTGGCATATAATTTTTATGTTGTTTACAGTATGTTTCATACACTAATCATCATCATCATAGGTCAGAGCAAAGGCCATCAATAATGATCTCCACATCGATCGGTCCTGTGCCATGCGCATCCATCAGCTTTCCGTGACCTTCACCAGATCGCCGGTCTACCTGGCCTGCCCACTGAGTGTCGTCCGGTGCGTGGTCGGCAGTCTTGAACCTTTCCGCCCCAACGGACTTCGGTTCTCCTCGCTATATGTCCCGTCCACTGCCACTTCAGCGGAGCAATTTTTCGAGCGATGTCGGTTACTTTAGTTCTCCTGCGGATTTCCTCATTTCTGATTTTATCATGCAGGAAAATATCAAGAATCGCTCTCTCCATTGCCCGCTGTGCGACCTTGAGCCTTCTTATGAGACCCATAGTAAACGACCGCGATTTGCTTCCTTAACTCATCACTGGCAACACACACTGGTCAAAGACTCTCGTCTTGAGACTCTGAGGTAATTTGGACGCCAAGATATTGCGTCCTGAACGCTGCCCATCCGAGCTGGATACGACGAGAGACCTCTTTCCCAAAGTTAGACTTACCTAACTAGAATGTCTGTCCCAGGTTAACGTTATGGTCGACAGCTTCGAGTGGAGTATTCCCAAATTTAACTGAAGCGGGTACAACATGGATGGATCGGATTAGAGCTCTAATTCTTTAATACGACTGACATGGTTGCGTTTTCGTATAGGTACCTTAACAACTCGACATACCTGTATGGCATCCTTGGCACCTTTGGAGAGACTCCAGCACAGCCCAGGTCTCAATCGTATCAAAAAAGCTTTCTCGTAGACCACAAACGCCAGGAAAAGTGGCAGGTTATACTTCTCTGTTGTCTGTATAATCTGCCGCAACGTCTACGGTACTGAAGCCTTTTCGGAAACCGACTTGTTCGGGACGTTGGAAGTCGTCAAATCTGCGAGCAAGACCATTTATAATTACTTTCGAAAACAACTTCTAGACATGGCTCTTAAGTGAGATAAGTCGATTGTTCTTCAATAGTGTACTTTCTATGAATATATATGTACCCTTTTTGAAGCATAGAATAACTTCATTTCTGCCCCATGCTTTCGGCGTTCGGCCTTCGAGAATGACGCAATTGAAAAGCTTCTAGAGGACTTTAAGTATCGGCTTACCGCTCGCTCTCAGAAGCTCTGTAGTGATTCCATCATCGCCCGCCGCCTTGTTGTTTTAAAGTTGTTTGAGAGCCATACTAATCTCATACAGACTGACATCCGGGATATCTTCTGTATAGTGTCGGGTAAGCTTAGCTCTGGGATCTGTAGACCTGTTTTCAACAGGTGCTTGTGTAGAGTGTAGCTTCCCATAGAACCTATCAATCTCCCTAAGGTTTTCAGACTCGTAATGATGTCGTCAGTCTTCAGTTTCGTCAATTGACTTTGCCCAAAAGACAGGTCTCTTGCACTTCGGAACCTTTGTTCCGCTCTATGGCCTCTTTAATACGATAAGTATTAAATTGGTGAAGGCCGACTTAGCTATCTGCCTATTTAGCAAACAATACTGACTTGCATCGGCTGAGTTCTGTAATCTCATTTCATTTCGCTGTTCCATAAGTTGCGAGTGTCTTGTCTGAGAGTTTCTTTATTCTAGTACGGCAGGTTTTGAAATACTGGGACCCTCTTACTGTACGGGCATTATCCTCCACCGTGTTAGATCGCCGACATCTTAGCTGTACACTGATACCTACATTTAAAATCCTATTATTTAATAAATGTTATTTCAGCAGTTTCGAAGAATGTCATTGGTCTAGAAAACAAGCAGAACTATTTACAGCGCAACAAGCAAATTTATTACAAATAAATGAGAGAAAAGCACTACCTCCACGTCAGCTACAAAAAACTATTGGTCAGATTATAAACGACATACCAGACTATCCAGATGTTGTAAGTGTCTTATTATATTCATTAACAATAAGATGAGCACATTCCAAAACTTTACATAAGCATAAAGTTTACAAAGGTAGGGTGTACTCTGCTACAGTTATGTGCTGTGTTATATTACATAATTAATTGACGCTGTGAAGTTTTCGCCAGTTTTTCTTTAATTTTTTATCAAATTGGAAGGTTAATACAAAAGGTATACAGTTTCATTATGCTTCCAAGTTGAATATGGAATTTATTTACTTGACTTTTTTTTACTTTTGCTACAGTGGGTTTAGTTTTCCTTTGGTTGTAATATTACTTCTATTGATAGAACAGAACTGAAAGAAAGTTCCGATTAGACCAATAATTTGGGACCCATCTAAGTTTACTCTTCCTAATGTGAGGCAGGTTAATACTAGTATAAAAATAAATGACCAACCTGTAGAATTAGTGGATTCTACAAAGTTTCTGGGTATTACTTTAGACTCGCATCTGCAATGGGATCCTCATATTGATGCCTTATCAAATAGACTAAGCTCTGCAGCTTTCGCTGTTAGAAAAATAAGACTCTTAACTGATGTGGCAACGGCAAGATTGGTTTACTTTGGTTACTTCCATAGCCTTATGTCTTATAGCCTTTTGTTGTGGGGCTCAGCTGCTAATATCGAAAGTATTTTCATACTGCAAAAGAGAGCTGTTCGCGCCATATACAACTTAAAGGCAAGAGAATCTCTTAGAGAGAAATTTAAAGAAATTAATATTTTAACACTGGCATCGCAATATGAAAATATAATTTATGTAAGAAAAATCTATGACGCATTTGCAAAAAAAAGCCAAACACATAACTTTAACACGAGATTCAAGAACAAACTTGCGGTTCCGTGTTTCAGACTCCAAAAATGAAGAGGTCCATTTCTGGGCTGTATTGTTTAATAAAGTTCCCCAAGATTTGATTGAGCTTCCACTGACCAAATTTAAATCTCAGATCAAGAATGCTCTTATGAAGAAGGGCTATTATAAAGTTGATGAGTATCTAAATGATCATAATGCATGGACATAGTGTTTCTTGTAATTTGATGGGTATTAGTCATTTTTCATAACTACCTATCTAATGTCGATTCCTGTATACTAAATATTGAGTTAATTATAAAATTTAATTTTATATTTATATGCTAAATGATGTAATGGGAGGTGACTTCAGAAGTATCTCTGAAGTCATTTTTCAACTTGACGACTGTATATAACAATACAGGAAGAAAAAAAACAGCCCTTGCTGAGTTTCTTGCCGGTTCTTCTCAGTACAAGGTCTCCGCCGGAGTTTTGCGAACCGATGGCGTAGCTCCTTGAACTTCATAAGTGCTTGTGCCTAGACTGAATAAATGAGTTTGAGTTTATTAAATACTCAGAATGACAAATATCTCATTTTGCGTATTTAATATTAAATTATATTTTGTTTTTTGTCTGGATGATGTCTTACACATTTGAGTCATTATATATTTAAAATGTAAATAAAATTAGCTTTAAAGTAGGTACATGGTAACAATGCCGATAATACGTAATAGATATAAATACTCGTACATTTTATTGTGTTCAATTAAATTTCACCCGCGCAAAGATAAATATGATAGAGAATCGTGTCATAATCAGGGCCTAGTTCTAAAACTAAGCTCTGATTATGTACCTATCTAAATACTTGCAGCTTATAATATTGATTTGGAAAACATACCCATTGATCGTTTTATGCAATTATTCATACATCCAATCCCACTTTGCATAAACCTTCTTGATATTACCAGATGGATATAATTAAGTACTTTTGTATTTTTTCCAGCATTTTCTAAGCTTTTTGAATTGTGTTCGGACAAAGGAGTTTTGCGGTGCTCAGGATTCTCTCTATAACTGCTTCGATCGGACTGTCTTCAATGTGTCAGGAAACAGCAACAATTCTAATGACAGAAATAAGAATTTCCGATATGCTGCATTAAACAGAGCTGCGATGCACACTCAATTTGGTCATAAGTGAGTACCTACTTATTTTAAGAATAAAATATGTTTACAAATTTGTCAAATTTGTATATTTTGCTTACCTTATTTTCTATTTAAGTACGTCATAATTATACGGGTTGTGGGAGCACCACAAAGTTACGACAGCTTTTTAGTTCACATTGGCTGCTTTTATTTTGTTACTGGAATTATTAAGATAAGTTAATTCACAGAGCATCGCTACTAGAGTCCGCATTACTTTAATTTTTGTTTGAAATTTTTATTTTTTTATTTATTTTGGCAACATACAGTCATGTACATCAATGTTTACATCATCTTAAAGTAATACATAGGTTTTAGACCTTGTGCCTACAATTACATTGTTATGAAATTTTATGGAAGTCAGGTTAGAAGCAATACAGTGTGCTATATCATCTTTATCAGGTTCTGTGTCTCTTATCTATTAGACAAGTCCGTCCGTCTGTCTGTGGTGCAGTTTAAGAGGCCAAACCGTAAGAGATAGATAAAGAGAATATTTAAGTTATAAGTTAAGAATAGTCTGATAAGACTACAAACCGGATTTGAGTAACGTAGCACTTCCGGTTTTCGAGAAATCAGGTTTTGGTGAATATTTGGTTCACTGGTTTGCTAGTATCAGTTATTACAATATTTCAAAGGCAAATTTTATGCAGTATTTAAAAATAAAACAAAAAGCTTGAATCAAGTAACAAATCAAATACCAGAATCAGAAAAAAAACAAAACAAAAAGCAGTAACAATGTACAGAAAACTACATACAGGTTGATCATCAGAAACTGTTAAATGAGCTTTATGTTGCTATCAGATAAGATACACGGTTGGTGCGTTAGGGTTTTTAAACCTTGTGCTGCTAAACTCACGTATTTATATAACAGTAAAATAAAAATAATATGTTTTATAATTCTGATAAAAAATGTTCAATTATGTGAGACTTAAATTTCATAAGGTTTGGACAAAAGATATCTATGTGAGCAACTTGTTTATATGCAGTCAAACAACGTTGGAAAAAGGCATTTGAAGTATATTTAGTACTTGATCTGGGAACAACGAACAGATCATTGGGCCTGCGAACACTTTTCAATGGGATCTTAAATTTTATTTCTTCAAGTAAGTTAGGGGAATCAATAATACTATGTATCAACTTATATAAGAATACAAAATCAAATTGTATCCGTCGGGAAGATAAGGTCAATAATTTGTGTTTTTTAAGGGAATCGTTGTAAGATGAATAAAGGGATCCTGTTCTGTACTCCAAAGCTTTCAATTTTTTTTTTTGTGTTTTCTACTCTATTTTGTGACTACAGAACAAAAATCCAGGATTGACCGCACCAGGGAGAAATAGAGAGTTTTATATGTAGCTTCCATTTTAAATGGTTTACAGACTAAGCAAAATTGTCGCCAAAGCAGTTGTCGTGCGGGTAGAGTAAGCCTTGTTTTGATTGGCCACCTCAGTGTGGTGTCATGGTTGGATTATACATAATGTGCAAACTTGTATCGCGACGTTTGGGAGCTTTACAGATAATCTCTGTAATGTGTGTGTCGGGAGTGTGTATAATATTGCATATGCGTAAATGCAATATTACTAAATAAGTTTGGCACAACAGGGTGACCTTGTATGTGCTGTATCTAATGTCTCTAACCTTCAGTAAAAGGTAAGGATATTTTATTTAAGTTTAATTATAAATATTTTACGTTAAAATCATGAAGTGTTTTCCTGTCTTCGATATCAAGAAATAACAATTCAATGTAATTAGTTGACATGACAAGGGCTCGTTCATTGCATAAAGCAATTTTTAATTAAAGTTATGTACATAAAAACGTTGACATTCCCCCTGTTTTGTTAGACGCTGTGCCGCTTAATAGCGTTAAACAGTTTAAGAACTTGGGGCACATCATCACTCACCTAAAAGACAATGCTGATATTGAACGAGAGCGCAGGTCGTAACATGTTGGCTCGCAGGTTCGCACGTTGCTCAACTCAAGTAAAAATGACCTTGTTTAAGGCAAACTGTGAATCACTTTACACGAGCAGCTTCTGGGTCAATTATACATAAAGAGCATACAGTGCGTTGCGTGTTCAATACAACAATATATTTAGGATGCTGTTACGGTTGCCTCGATTCTGTAGCGCGTCAGCCATGTTCGCTGACGAACACACTGATGATTTTTATGCGATTAGGCGGAAACGGATTTTCGAACACCAAAGTTTCCTAGGACAAAGGTCCTGTCATATAGTGGCCGTAATATATCGGACGCAAAAAGACTTAAAGAAAAATTACCACTCTCTAGGAAACAACGCCATTTTGTTTAAATAGACAACGTTTTAATAGACGACCGCTATATGACGGCACCGGTATCCTAGGATATCAGAGCTTCACTGAAGCTTGATAATAGGGATGATGACGAGTTAAAGTAAACGAAATTTTATCAGAAATTCACGGACACTGTAGACTATAAACCTATCTTTAATTTAATAAAACTACTACTTTAACCGAAACTATATGTATGGATTTCACCTAGCTTAAGGCAGTTGAATGTTTCTGACTGACTGTAAACACAATATACTCAGTGGCGGACTAAGCCAATCAGAGGCCCGGGGCGACAAAGCAGAATGAGGCCCCCAGCTTTAAAAAAAAGTTTCCTATGTTTATTTCATTAAATCTGGCAAGTGAAATTTAAATAAGAATTAAATTATTTCGGCAAAATAAACATACATACCTACAATATGGAATGTATATGGGTAGGAAAATCAAATACGAATCATGGACAAAAAAAATACTAACTAAATCAAAGATTTTTTTTTATTTTTGGTAGCGTTTATATGTATGTTTTCGTGCCTTCAATTTACTGAACTCTGACCGCGGTAGCATAATAGGCTAGTTGACCCTTTTTGGAAAAAGGTTTTAAATGGTTAATAAATGTTCTATTAGACCGAAAAAAAATGTATTGTATTTTTTTGAGACCTAAAAAGCTACAAATCTTTAATTTTAAAATAGATTTTTCATGGACATACAGAAACGCTATCGGCCATTTTAGTCTATAGATTATCTATGCTATGACGTTAACTGCAGTAAACACATAGAGAAAGGTAAATAAACAAAAACTCGTAAGAAAATAACTGACTTTATAATAAACAAAAGATGATTTCTAATAAATACCCCGAAAAATAAAGTAATTATCATTATTGTATTGTACGAGAATATAAAAACACATCCTTGAAGATTCCAGGAAAGTTGTGAATTAAAAGTGCCGAAAGAAATTAACCTACGCAACTTTATTACACTTATTCATATGTTGTATCAGTTTTATGTTTATTACTACATTGTAATACTAAATACACTGTACTTACATAGATGCCTTGTAGTTTCTCTGCTCCGCAGAGCAGAAATCGGGGTTTAGTGAAATAAATTCACCAACCATGAATGCGTCAATTCTTGGCAGATTTGTGCTTTCTGTTTTCACAAAGCCGGCATCCATAATTAGTTTTTTCAAAAAAAAACAGTAAACGGAAACTTTTCTAAAGTTAAAAGTGTTTTTATGATAAATTTAGTCAGACGAAAGAATCCACCCACAGTAACACGCGAATGACATTTAGTTGTTTACCATATGAGACGTCACAATCATGGCGGATGTGGCGAACAGCGTTTTTAGTGTTTAAAAAATATAGACTAAAAATATTTTTTTTAATTAAATTTCTACAGCAATCTTCTGCTTTTATGAAGTGAAATTGATATATTTGGGTTCCTTTGACCAAATACTTTATGAAATAAACATTTATTTAATACAATTCGACATGAGTCAACTAGCCTATTGATCAGTGCTTTTGTCCGGATTGTGAAGGGTGCGGGTTCGAGTCCCGTCTGCTGCCTGGTCCGCATGGAATTTTTTCAAGTTATATTTTTTAACATTTTTAAAGTTATGTTTAGGTTCTGATCAGGGGAATTCGGAGACATTTGGGGGCCCCCCAAGATCGGAGGCCCGGGGCGGGCCGCCCCTTCCGCCCCCCTGTTAGTCCGCCACTGAATATACTACAAATAAATTTATAGAAAATCTGTAATTAGCCTTACTGTCGGTTTACACTATATTTAAATACTTTTGTAAACGCCGTTTGCTTATCCCAAAGAAACCACCAAGTTCCGTACTCACAGGCACTTAAATGTACGTACTAAACTTAAAACAAATTAATCGTCAGGATTACTAATTAACTTATAAAATAACAAACAACGAAGAGAAATTAATAACAGCAAGAAGCATTAATTAAATGCACATTCGCACACCGAACCGGAAAGGAACTGAATTTCGTCACACATCAATCGCAACGAAGCCGCTCCCGCCCGCACCAAAATGTCTTCGGTCACCCATTGCATCGCTCGGGTCAACGGCAACCCAGCTGATTTATCGAATATTGTATAATTACATTGCGTGTGGTTAGAAAAATGATAAAAAAGTATTATTTTTGATGAAGCTGTTGTAGTAAATTAACCTTACAACATTCTGATATAAATAAAGCAGAACATTATTTTTGGAAAATATAATTAAAAAAATAACTTTTAGTGGTATCATATCCAGAATCAGTCTCTCTCTCTTCCCCAATGTCTTTTTTTCGGGAGCGTTCCCCCTTACACCTGGTATATTATCCAACAAACGGACAATATATCCACCTTTTTTATTTCTCGCTACTTATTATACAGATGTAAAAAAACCTATGACAAAGACTAAAACTACGCATTCTGTACACATGGGAATCATTTGTATTTTTAAGTTAAAAAATACATTTTTATTTCCAGTACGCAATGTATGGCGCGGCGCGCTACTGTGGCGCTACGCAAAGAATTTGTATGTGTATGCATGTGTGTAAGTGCGTCGATAAAAAAGTTTCAAAATAACGTTTTGGAAATATTAATGTAAAAACCTTAAAAAACAAATTGTGACTTTGACCTTCAATATCTCCATAAACATAAATTTCCCAGGTATGGTCCAGAAGAAAAAAATGATCGTCATGATGTGGAAAATACTTGGCCTTCGACTTCGTTAAAGGATTTTTTACACCCTGTATAAATAATTAAAACTTATTAAAAGCTATTCCTTTTTTCCGTCTCGATGGACCCAATTGTAGACTATAAAGTCACTTTATTATAATGATTAATAAAACTTCTTATATTTTCTAAAATATTAGAACAATAAATATCACTAACAACAAGGTAACCAAAGTAACGACGACATCGAGAAGTTTTTAATGCTATGAAAAAAAAAACACAAACTATACCATGGAGATTTTTCATAAAAATATCTCATACTAACATACGTAAAATATAATCTTTAAAATATTAATACAAATAGATAAATCAACTTTAACTGACCCTTAATTTTTTCTTTTGTCAATCAACCGAAAAATAACAATGATAATCAAACTTTGGGAGTGGGGGCTCGTGACGTCGTCGCTTATAAGTATAAATTGTATGAAGACGTGACTTCATGCGACATTTTAAATCAATATATCTCGGTTATGTTTTGATTACAAGAATAAAGAAAAAAACACGTGTTCAATACTTTTTGACAATGTAACTGATAGATGAAGAAAAAAAGTTAGTCAATATCCATTTTGAAACTGGCCGTGAATCGTAAGGTCGGTGGCGATGGAGGGCGTGCGGGAGGCGCTGGCAGCGGCGCAAGAGGCGGCGGACGGGTGCTGCTTGGCGCACGCGGCGGCGTGGGGCGCGCTGGCGGGCGGTCGCGCGCGCCGCGCCGCGCTGCTGGCCCGCGTGCCGCGAGCACCGCGCGTCGCCGCGTCTGCTGCACAGCTCATGGCGCAGCACGCCGCCGTCAACGGAGCCAAGCCCGCGGACGTGTTCCAGGTGAGCTGTCCCACTAGCCACGGCGAAGAAGGCGGCGTTCGGGTGGTGCCTGCCGCACATGGTGGCCTGGGGCCCGCCGGCGGGGAGTCGCGCGTGCCGCCGTCAACGTACCCAAGCCCGCGGACGTGTCCAGGTGAGCTGTCCCCCTAGCTACAGTGCAGGAGGTGGCGGACGGGTGATGCCTGGCGCACGTGGCGGCGTGGGACGCGCCGGCGGGCAGTCGAACGCGGAGCGCAGCGCAGCTCATGGTGCAGCAGGCCGCCGTCAACAGAGCCAAGCCCGCAAGCGTGTTCCGCTGACCTGCTCCCCTAGCCAACGACACCATTTTCTTCTACTTAGCAAGCGGAAGCTGCGGACTTAACGTTTTACTATAATTTAATCTTCGACAAGATAGACGTTTCAGAAGATCATCAATTTCTGTATAAGAAAAACTACTGCTGCAATTTCCAAACACTGGAGAAAGTGGTTGCTGCAGCGATAAAAGGTACCCTCCACCCAGGTGAATTTGGCGTTTCAAATCAGTGTTGTCATCCGTCACCCGGTTTATTATATTTGTATTGATCAAATACGCATGCAAAGTAAAATTTAATCTTTATTTGAATACCATTGAATGGAATACCAGCAGTTGCAGCATGATTTTGACGCAGATGGATATGGATTGAATGTCCAGTCTGGATGAAATCAAAACTGGTTGAATGCGATACCATATAAGTGTCTATTATTCGCAGATCATTACCAAAGGCGATTCGATAAACTACTTGCATTCGATGATCGACTTGACGATGGCGGGTTTGGCGAATCAGGCGGCTTTGTGGTCTCTGTATGGGAAGACGGAAATGGCATCAGTCTGCTGTCAGCTGCTTCTCAACCTTAATACAAGTGAGCGCTTTCTTAATACTAAAAGCGGGGACACTTTCTGATAGTAATTGGATACTGATGAAATACATTCATTGTTAAGAGTATAATTGGAATTAATACGCACCAATTCCAATGATCGAGTAACTATTGTATTTTTGTTTATATGCGTGACTTATGCCGTGCACGTACTGAGCAGTCGAAGATGAAGGATGATTTAACCTAACCTATGACCTAGCTGCTGACCTTTTTTTTACGTAAGTCCAAGCGCAATCTTTTTTGACTGTGCTTAAAGGCACCTCGGCGGGCTCGCATGAGGCACGCACGGCCTTCCCTGTTGCTTCAAGTGCGTACGTGCCTTATGCGAGCACGTACGCACTTGAAGCAAGCAAGGTGCCTTTAAGCACAGTCAAAAAAGAGCCGCTAAAAGGGTACTTGCCTCGAAAGTGTGGACGTTTCCCTCTTAGCAAGTCACGCACAATGGTGAAAACTACGTGTATCCAAAGCCAAAATATTTTTGTCTTCATTTTAGGTTCTTCATCAGATACTAAATGGCGGTCAGGACAGACGCATAAGTAAATCCGCTGTAAAGCTATAATCTTAACTTTTGATGGATATTTTGAACCACGCAAAAAAATTGCAGCAGTTTCAATGCAAGATACCGCTGGAGCCGGCCCGATCACAATGAAACACTCGTCCCGCGAGAAACACGATCCGCACCCGATTTATATGTGTAATGGGTTTTAGTTAAATCGTATCAATTTTGTGAGATGCGAATGGACCGTTTGATCGCGTCGCGCGCGTATATGTGACTATGTGTATCTGTGTAGAATGCGGGTACGGCGAATGGGGCGGCGGCGCGGGCACGTGGCACTGGACGGCGGCTTGCGGCACTGCGGCAGCCGGTGCGGCCTGCGTGGCCTCCTGGCGCGCCGACCCCGCGCTCGCCGCCGCCCTCGCCGCGCACTTGCCCGCCGCTACGCACCCCGCCCTCGCTGCCATGCACCATGCCCGCGCGGCGCTTCTGGCAGGTACCCGGCCCGCGCTACAGGCACGCACGTGTCACACTATATGTGTATACAACGCGCCGATACCGCCCTCGCCGCGCACCTGCCCGCCGCTACGCACCCCGCCCTCGCTGCCATGCACCATGCCCGCGCGGCGCTCCTGGCAGGTACTCGCCCCGCACTACAGGCACGCACGTGTCACACTATATGTGTATACAGCGCGCCGATACCGCCCTCGCCGCGCACCTGCTCGCCGCTACGCACCCCGCCCTCGCTGCCATGCACCATGCCCGCGCGGCGCTGCTGGCAGTTACCCGCCTCGCTCTACAGGCACGCCCGTTTAGACACCAATTAGAGGGCAAGGGCAAAATCGGTCAAGCAGTACTTCATGTCTGAGCAGACTTCTGCTCGAATATTATTGACGGACACCCCTGAGAACTTAAATAAACCATATACACTGAACATATTAAAATAATAAAAAACAAATAAGTTATATAGTAAATTAGAGAAATCAAGCCAAGTATCGAAATTATGGATTAGATTCAGGTATATAGAGCATGTAGATTAACAGATAGTTGCCTGTTTTGAAAGTAAATGCATAAGAGTAATTTATAAAATCAGGTGCATTTCCGGTTATAATAAGGTACTCTGTGACAGAAACTGTGTGATGATTGAGAATGAGCCACAGATTAGAGAGAATTTTTAAACTCTCGTTAACCAAAGAAAGCTAAGAGATTTAGGTTATATAGCCATATATTCAGTAGCTTCATTATTTTTGTTATGTTTTTAATATAACCATATTTTAGATTTTTAGTGTATCACACCTTATAATTTTTTTGTTTATTAATTTATAGTCAGGCAACGTAGGCACATAGATAGATACCTTAAAGTCTAACATATATAAAGATTATAATGTGTTTGGCGAAAAATGTATGGCAATAGAATTTATGATGTCGCCTACCATCTATAATAATTGTCTGAGCACATTTGCATGTAGTGAAAATGATAATATAGTTGTGGATATTAATACCATAGTGTAATAAAAAATGATTTATTTTATCGATCTTTACAAAATAGATTTGTTTTTATGTTATATAAACAACTTTGATCAGTCTTTGGCTGAATGTTACTACTCCCATAGCCATTAAAAATGACTCGTATGTTTTCCAAACCGGTAAAATTAATAGTCCTTTTTAAAGTAAATACAAATATGTCCGTTGAAATCTAATGACTGTAAATTAAATTATAAATTACGCCAAGAATTACCGTGTATATCAATATTTTTTGTGCGTTTGGGCCAATTTGAGCAATCTCCTTTGATATTGGTTCGTGCTAAGGTTACTGCTCACATCTGTGGGCTGGAGCTCTCAACTGGATTTCATTTTTATACAAAGACGCTCGGTTAGGATTGTCGATGATCCCAAGCTAGCGGAAAATCTGGATCCTTTAGAACTGCGCAGGGAGTTTGGTTGCCTATGCGTATTCTATAGGCTCTTCCTTGGTCAGTGCTCTGGATAATTGTCGCAGTTAATTAGCATTTTATACTGTTTTTATAGCCTTTTATTGACACAAACCCGAAAAAATCGAAAACATCGGTTTAGTAGGTTTTTGAAATGACACCCGGAAAACCGGTTTTCTAAAACCGTCCGGTTTTTGCATGCCCTAGTAACTAAAGCAGTGATAATTATTTCGTTCATCTAACATTATATTTTTAGGTATTTCGTGGGTATTTTATTTCAAGAATAAGGCATATATTGGTATAATAAGTTCACCACGATTTCACGAATATCATGCATGACTTGACTGATTGACATTTGGCCATAGTGATAGAGTGGACGTAATGAGCTACCACACACTAAAAATATGACGTTACATAATATGTCAGGGTGGCCAGCATACGTACATTTTTTTTTTAAATTAAAAAAAACATGTTATAATATGAAACAAGCTTTCAAATTAGGTATATATGTTCTGTCGCTGTCGGAAACCGACCACCACTTTTGAACAATCTCCTTTGTAGACTTATAACAAGCGCACATTGAACCACTGGCAGCCACTAAACTTGTCTACAAGCTGCGGTCGAGTGTTTTTAACACCTTTGTGGCCGCCACTATGCTTTTTCTTCGTTTCCTCATGGCTGAGGTCGTGACCTTTCAGGACAGCACGCTTCACCAGCTATCTCCATGCCGTTCTGTGTTCTTCAAGGCGAATGGACGCGCCTGCAAGTTGCCATTCGTGGTTTCCACAACTATGCCCAACCACCGGGATGGAGACCTGAACCTAAATATTTTGCTTTCCACATTTCCAACGCCAGAATCTTTTCAAAATTATCTGGGCTTCTCCCCGCCACGTGACCGAAGTATTTTAGGACACTAAGCTACTAGCGGCATTTAGTGGCTCAATGTGCGTTTGCTCATAATGCACTAATAAATACATCATCTGGGTACAGCCAGTGCAAAGCTATAAATTGTAAAATCAACAAAAATCTATGCTTTTAGGTAAATGGGAAGAGGCGGAACAGAGTATAGGACAACTGGCTTCTTTTGATAGATGGGAGAGCCAAATATTAAAAGCGGAAATGTATTTTCTGAAAGGCGACGCCACAGAGGCTTTGGAATCTTTACACGACATCTTCGATTTCTGCAAAACTGAAGATGATAGTCTTTATTTCATCTCCATGAGATTGAAAGCAATGATATTGATGTCCCAAGTACAACATTCATTCAGCAGTATTCAGTCCTCTAATATTATGTTGTTGAACGAAGCATTGTCACTAGCGAAGAAGTATCATCTGCATTATTTAGCTGCTACGGCCGAGATGCATATAGCTAATGTCCAGCTCCATATGGGATGTGCTAAGAATGCTCTTGTGCTAGTACGAAAAGTATTACCCTCAATTATGGCACACGGGAGTTCATACGATACGGCTAGAGGTAAATAATTATCTATACATAGTCATATAATTGTGTCTTACATTAACTCCATTCAGAGAGGAGAACACGCGAACATGTATCTGAAAAAAATTGGGAAATCACCTTTGATTATATAGGGTGAAATTGAATGTTTTAATGAAACTTCGTGGGATTGTTGGGTTACGTATTTAGAGTATCTCTAAATTTTTTCGGATTTTTTAAAAATGATTTAAAATAAAATTTCTTTTTTTTTTGTTATATTTTAAGTCCTTTCCTCCTTTTGGGTACTAAATAATTATTCTTTTTAAACACGCATACAGAGTAAGTAAAAAACAACTAATAAGCACTACTAAAAAAACGTAAAAACAGAAGACGAACGGCCGGGAGCAATGACCGCTCCCGCCGTTAAATCGGTTGAATACCTACCTATGCGCGGTGCAAAGCGCAGTGAGCGAGCGCAGTGTCAAGTTTATCCATCGCGCGTGCGTATCTTTTAAATTTGTGACAAGAGAAGATTTGCAAATAATGCCTTGATTAGTTCTTGTTCTGTGGCCTCAATATAAGAAGTTGCATATGGTGTGTTGTTACTGTAGTGTCACGGAATACTCAGCAGAGCCACAAGGCTTTACGAAAGTAGGTTTGGTGATTGATTGTGTTTACAAAGTGTACCTATATGGGAAGTTAAAGTGAAAAAAATAAATAAGTACATCGGTCTCGTAAGTACTTTTGAATACCTGTTCCTAAATTTCATTCTGACCCAAGTATTGAACTGCAATAAGTATTTCTTTTTGTTTAACATTTGCCTATTTCTAATCGTGACAAAATTATTATTAACTTTTAAAGTTTTTCTCTGCTTATGAGAAGATGACATTTGTGCTTAATATTTCAATAAAGGCATCTAAGACGACTTTATTGTATTGTGTGGAATCAAAGGAGTCAGCTGAACTCTGTGTAGAGGTACCTACTCACTCAACGGCTGGCGGGCGCGGTCGGTCGTTGACCCGCGGTGGAATTTTAATGTTTTTCCATTTTTTAGAAGTGCTTATTTATTAGTTATTTTTCATTGGATATGTAAGTTTGTTTGTTTAAAATGAATACCTACTCAAATGGAGGAAAGGACATAAAATACACAAATTATAAATAAATACATGAAAAAAATATACTTCGAAAAAATCCGAAAAAAATCAGGCATACTCTATACACGTAACCCAACAATCTCACGAAGTTTCATTAAAACATTCAATTTCACCCTATATAAACTTTTTCTAAATTGCATATGGGTTGATGCAACATTATGAAGCACTGTTTATAAACAAATGTTGCCTAATGAATACGCAGCTTAACGGTCAATTTCAATAAGCAATGTCCTGTAAGCTTATTCTGGGTTTTAAAGCAACACTCATTAACTTAAAAAATAAAAAAATATATGTATAGGCAACTTAAATTATAGTAATTGATGATTGAACCTGGCCATGGTTAAAAAAGACTTTATTGCATGTTGAATGAGATTGACATCAATATAATTTTTTGATTTATCGTTTTATTTCCAGCACTCTTGTTGTATACGAAGTGCCGTATTGCATCCGCTCCCATTTGTGGGGAAGCACGATCGCAAGTGTTACAATCGTGCTGTGATGCACTAGAACTTGTTAAAAAGAATTTTTCCAAAGTTGGTGCCCATTCAAGGTTGCTTCAGACTTGGTATTTACAGGTAAATATTTTGATTATTTTATTTAATTTTCCGTGCTGGCAACAACACGAACAAAACCGAAACCTGTCCAAAAGGTACATTGGACGATCCACGGATCTTCGTTATAGGCGAGGAGCCACCAATCCTGAAAGCTCCGTGATCACGGATTCTAATATTTTTAATAAAAATTAAAGTTAAAGTTTAGACGAACAATATTTGCTTTTGTCGGCGTGGATTTGATTGGCCGGAAATATTTTAATTAAATTATTTATTATTAAATTTCCATAATTATTTTCCGTCATCACGGATTTTGATCAATCTTATATAGAATTTTGTGTGAAATATTATGTTCAACAAGAAAAAATTCGGCCGACCAAGGATTTTTAGCCGGAAAGGTCACGCATACCTATTTGAATGGTGTGATAAGTGGTAAAATTTATCCATTATCACGGAAACCTTTTTTTGTTTTTTTAATTTACGCGTTTTAATGTCACATTTATAATTATCTTGGTATGCGTGCTTACAAACTGCCGAAAGTATCGAGCATACCAAATTTTAACTCTTCGTTCGTCTCTTTTTGTTCCCTATGAATTTAACATTTACCTGCCTCAATGATACACAATACCGTAAAATGAGGTTGTTCTACGACAGAGCTGCATAGTGTTAACTCTCTTACTCCGGTTTCTTTTCAAGTCCATAAGACTGCTCCAAGAGTAAGTGAGATAAGAGTAATATCGAATCTATGTTAAAGTTCCATAGGTCTTTCTCTCTTACTCCGAAAAGGTCACAGCATACCTACGTTGTCCTACAACATTTTGGGGGTTCAGATCATTTCCACATTTCAGTCTGCTGTTTTCCTAGCTGTCAAAAGTGTCGTTATTTTGTATAGCTTACTACGCATCAGCATTCTAAACATATTTATTAATTTAACAAAATTCACTGTTGAATATTTTTTTTTTTTTATTTATTTATAATTGTCAAGCCGTCTTATATTTGTACATCTTATGATATTTTAAACAGATATTGATTTTCTGGTGATATTGTGTCCATTTTAGTGATATAGTGACGATGGATTCAGTGTACTGTTGCGTTATAAAAAAACATTTAAAGCACTAGATCCAATCTCAGCGTTTCATCATAACAATTTCAATATGAAGTGTATTATTTGTAATACATCAACTAAAGAGAAAATTACTTCGTTTTCTGGAAGGGAAGAAGCTTTTAAAAAATGTAAAAACGTGCTGAGTTTCCGGAAATTAAAAATAATTAAGTATCAAGATTTAAGCTTAAATTCCGATGATTTGAACGACAATGGTTATCATCTCACATTACATATATATATATTCAGGTAATTTTCTATACAATTTATTATATAATCAACCCAAATATTTTTTTTCCATATTAATTAGTATAATAAATAGTTAAAAACTTAAGGAAGAGAACAGAGATAGAAGAGAGACTCTGAAAGAAACGTCATCAAGTAAGTGAAATCTATAACAGTATAATTTTCACTCACACAATAAAATTTGGTATGCGCTATACTTTCAGCAGTTTGTAAGCACGCATACCAAGATAATTATAAACGTGACATTAAATCGCGTAAATTAAAAAAACAAAAATAGGTTTCCGTGATAATGGATAAATTTTACCCCTTATCACACCATTCAAATAGGTATGCGTGACCTTTCCGGCTAAAAATCATTGGTAGGCCGGTTTTTTTCTTGTTGAACATAATATTTCACACAAAAATTCTATATAAGATTGATCAAAATCCATGATGACGGAAAAAAAATATGGAAATTTAATAATAAATAATTTAATTAAAATATTTCCGGACAATCAAATCCAAGACGACAAAGCAAATCTTGTTCGTCTAAACGTTAAGTTTTATTTTTTATTAAAAATATTAGAATCCGTGATCACGGAGCTTTCAGGATTGGTGCCTCCCGGACTATTAGATGATCGCGTTGTCAAAAACAATATAAGGCATTATATATAGATTGAAAGTCACCTTTATGCATACTGTATAAGGTCTTAATTAACGCATTTGTCAAAGAGTAATAAAAGTTCGAAATGCAAGCTTGTAAAATTTTACGACTTATTGGTATATGCGGAAGAATATACACCATATTTCTTTGACTCTACCGCCAATTCAATGCGCTGTTAGCAATATAGCAGGTACGGACCGCGAGGAACAGAGATGGCTATATAACCGACTATGCATTTGAAAAACTCAAATATTTTATATAAAATCGTTTATAGTAAATAATAGAGCAACATTTGCTGCAAATGCGTTAAATAAACAAACATTGAATCGAAAACTGTCGAAAAAATGAGATTTTACGCACTAAAAGTATTTTTTTTTGCATTTTGTCATGGATCTCTGCGGCATCTTGACTTTTCAACGGTCTGCGCTTGACTGTGAACCAAGAAGTGCTTGAGTGAAGTTCAAGCACTTCTTGATTGGGATACATTTTGAGCGCACGTGGTGTATCTATAATTATAATAATTATAGGGTATTTAATATCGTTGATATTTTCACTCAACATCAGTTGGGTAGATAAGTTTTTAAGGTGAAAGTTTATTAGGTATTTACATATTTGTTGAAAACTAGTGGGTGCTCGCGACTTCGTCTGCGTGGGAATATTTGTTTCCCATACAAACTCACCCCCTCATTTCACTCCTTTGAAGGATGTATACAAGCCTAACTTTCCTATTCAAAATTCTCAATAAAAGTTGTTCTTATATATTACATCCATCCATCCATCTGTGCGGTACATCAATTACAAAAGGAAGTTGTATTCGACAGAAGTGCTACTTTTTTTTACTTTTATTGAATTACCCATTCCATCGCGAAAGGAAATAGGGAATGATTGTGTTCCAGTGGGAACGCTGAATGGAATAGAAGGCTGATGATGACCATGAGTGTAGCAAAGACTTACACTTTAGCTATGAAAATTCTACAATTAAAATGTCTTTCGAACATACTTAATTGTTTTATCCTTTACGAGAAAAACTTTTTCATTGCAGGCACAGTTGTATAATGATATTGGCAATCACGCATCGAGAAATCAATGTGCTTGGATGTACAGACAATTAGAAACACAAAACCCTATTGAGCCATCAAATACTCTGCTTGTCATGTATTAAAAAGTGTATATTAAATATAAAATTTAAATTCGTGTTTTCTTTTTTACTTCAGTTTATATGCCGATGAAAATTATGAACACTTCATTTCATGGAAATATTTTATTCTTAATACAATTTGTCATTCAATAAAGCATTTTGTGTAATTTCAGACATGGTTACTTTGATATCTCTACATAAAACTTCTGCAACTAATACTTTAGACTGGTTTTGTGAATTGGCATAGACATAAGCTCCTTCACCAAGGATATGCGTATCATTCCAACAGTGTCCAAGAGATGCTTGCGATTCGCATATTCTTCCTAGTTGCAATAATAAAGAAGTAATATCCTCAAGTAATGAAGGAAAGGCGATACATATTCGTACAAGAGATTTTAAAACAGGTTGGAATAATTCCAAACGCAAATCACTCGGTAGCACAGATAGCAAAGTTGAGAGTGTATTCACACATAACCGCGCTATAGACATTGCCTTCGGTAGTGCATATTGGATTGATAAATGTGACACTAAATCCACTGCGAAAATCTGTTTTTCAAGTGAAGCTTGACTTAAAAGTTCAGGAATAAAATCCAGACATATGTGCATTGAAGGAATACCCTGCACAGTTACTGGGAGTAATTCCCGTGGATATCCTTGAAAATGAACCAATTTAGCTAGTGATGGTTCTGATATAAATATTTGATGTAGAAAAGAGCATATTATACTTCTGACTTCTCGTAAGGACCACATCAGTTCAGGTTTAGTTTTGTCATCTGATGTTTCGAGACATGCTTCTAATAAAATTTGAAGTGCTGCACTTTCTTGCGCAGCAACTAAAGCATTTTTCAATTCTTCCCTTTCAGTGTCGGATGTCAATTGGCCACTTTTCTCCAAAAGCGGTTTATCGAGCAAATGTCGGCTCAGTTGACTTCGAGATGCAGCTAAACTTGCTTCCAAAATGCGTAAAATTATCTTCAAAATGGGCCCACATCTGAACACCCTTATATCACACCTTAGAACTTGTAATGGATCGACCAACACATTTTCTTGGGTTATCGTCACGTTTCTAGCACCGCTATTTATGTCTAGCAAAGCATTTATGGTCATTATCCAAAGGCATCGTGGCAGAACTGTGTTAAGGCGTAACCAAACTTCACGATACAACTCTTGTATGTGACGCGGAACTTGGTCTCCCAGTACGCTTTTAAAGTACCGCACAAATATTTCGGCGTATGGCCATATATCTGTGGGATTTTTGCTAAGCATAGCTTTTAGTATTTTGGCGGTTTTGTATGGGTTCTCATCGACACTTTGAAACGCTTCGTTAATAGATGTTTCAGATAAATTGACATCGACTTGATGGCGACAGGAATCACCAAATACTTGATCGTCCATCCAATCATCAACGAGTGATAGTTGGGGAAAGTGTGTTGCTAGTAAACGCAGAAGGGGACTGAATAGACCACCATAACTCATTTGATCTTTTTGTGCTTGATGCAAAAGGTATTTAATAGGCAGTTCAGACAAAAAAGCAGCAGAGTAACTTTTGACTTTCCTCCCATTAGCTATAAGAGTCGCTGCATTAGCGAGCCTTACATCTTCGTACAACAACAAATAATAAATAAGCAGTAGTTGTGAAGCTAAAGTCGGTTTTTCAATATCGATATCAATCGATGCTTCACCATTGTCTATTTCCATTGGTGAGAATGGCTTATTTTGCACATCAAAATTGGCACCAAATATAGAATTTCTAAAGACTTTTCTTATCTCTTCCTCTGTGATAGGTTTATTGACATATTCGTTTGTTCCTTTGTTGTTAATGACTAAAATTGAATTTACGTAAACTTCGACGAGAGCTGGCATGACAGGGTGTAACGGTGCAACACAGTTGCAGATTTGCCGATAAATCCAATTTTTTATTGGTACTTTGTGTTTAGAAAAGGCTCTCGATTTCAACAACTGATGAATGCAATGCACGGGCAAGTAACCAGGAATGTTGCTGTTAAGATTTGCTGTAACAGGTACTTTTACTGCATGCGCGGTTACAACCTGCAATTGAAAGGAATTAATTACTTGCACAATTTTCGCTGCTCACCCACTTAATTAATTCACTGATATTGACGACCACCCAAGGTGCCAGATAAAAGGGGTGGCCATGGGGCCAGTTTAGGTACTTACTACAATTTTTACGAGTATTCAATCATTTTATATTTATTTACTGATTCTTTCTGATTCTTATTGCGAGAGATCTACAAGATAACTTATCTATAAATCGCGATAATTGAAAATAATTAATGTTTTTATTCATCTTTAACGATTTTCCCGATCTCTCTGTATATAGAGAAACTCACTCTATTATCTATATCAAAAAGAGTTGGATTGGAGATTATGGGTCCTACTAATCTCAAACGGGAGCCAGACTGATGGAGGCAAATTCAAGAAGACATCATTTAATGCCTTGCTAACTAACAATTGCATTTACTTGAATCCTACCACGCTACCACGAATAAATACATTTGTACTGTCTAAACAAGTAGAAGGAAGTATTATCATACCTAGTAAGGCATATAAAAAAAACTGTTACCTGTTCTGTAAAAATCTCTTGCGTGAAAGCCTGTTTAATACGAGTAAGACCATTAGGTCGCACAGGTACACGCATTCCCAATGTTGCACATACTAGTTCTCCTACAGCTGCAAGTTGACCAGAGTGAAAATGTATTGCTATTAAAAGCAACATCTCGCCAAAGGATGCTGTCGCTTCAGAATTGCTGGAATATAAATTTCAATTATCTTATATTTTTATAGTAGGTACACAAATTCAAGCTTGACATCCTCCCTCGCAAGATCATTATGTATAAGGCTTTTCGTATGACCGCGCGGTTGCGGCATTCATATGACAGCGCGTCCCTAATGCGCTTCAGCCGCGCGTTGCCGAGCGGTTATGTAGACGATAGTGGTGTCGATTCTGGCATAATTTTCTAAACTTAAAACTAAAATTAATATCAGTCTCTCCTTTTGATTCTATATAGAGAATGACAAAGATACACTGTTGTTAAATTAAGTTTAGGTTTAGAGAATCATGCCGGAATCGACACCAATAGCTGTTTGCTTTGATCTTGTACCGCACTGTCATATGAACTAAGCTTTAAGATTCTTACACATAAAATATTGGTAAACAGTATAATAATGTCCCCAATGTTGAGTTGCGGCCGTCCTTGCGGTATGCTTGCAGGTCCCACCTGTGTATTGGCGGGAGCTAACAGCGGCTGATTATGCAATCAGGAACAACCTTAGTTTAAATCAAGTAGGGAAGATACGGCACTGTGCTTGCACACAATTCGCTTTAGACACAATTTGACAACCAAACACGTGATGTGGACTCAGTATAATAATATTTTGCATATTCTGTGTTAAAAAGATGAAACAATGCTTTTAAATAGTGCACAAATAGTTCAAGAACAAATAAAATCCACAACAACACTTTTCATTCGTAAAACTATAAACACATATTTTTATTCAAGAATCACAGTTTGTTATGAATGTTATTCTCTTATATTCGCCATTTGTTATCGAAAAAAGGACAAGAACACACCTGAGCTATTTGAAGAGAACCGTTATGTCTCACTCACTCAATTGAATGAATATTTATAGGTGTGTGTGTGAATGTAGTTCAGCCGGCTCATTTTTTGTTTGACGTAAGTTAAGAGTGTACCAGATTTCCTCTTTTTGATAAAATCTAAAAGAGCAACTAACTTTATTTCCAAAGGACAATGGGCAAAAAACACCCAGCTCCGCCAACAATGTAATTAGTATAATTCGAAAGATCTATAAAAAATTTCCTTTTTTTATTATGACACCGTAAAAAATATTCGATGGTCGAACGATATACACATGGGCATATTTAAGTAGCTAAATAAATTTATTCCTTTATTTCGTAAGATTAGTAGCCATAATAATGTGTCATATCATACTATATAACCAGATATGCTACAAAAACTACCGAGCATCCTGCGCTTGGATTTAGCGACACGTCTCAAAATGTTGCAGTTGTAACTTTGGATGACCGCTTAACTGATTCCTCCTCGCCTGCGAGGTAAAGCTAAAGGGTGTGGGGGTAGGACGAGATCAGGATCCGTTCGAGGTACGGGCGGCAGGCACATTATTGTCAAATTACAAGCGCCCGCCGCCCGCACCCCTCACGGTCCCCGTTCTCACCCTACCCTCACACCCTTTACCCCGCAGGCGAAGACTCAGTTTTAAGCGGTCTATCTTTAGTCGACTCATATACAGTCCTTCGTCTTACATCGTTATGATTATGTGATTGGTTTTTTATTTTTGTTCTGGGCACATAACCAGCTGAAGTTAGCTAAAAGCTATTAAGGTGGGCACGATGGGGAGACGTTGGCATATCCATATACCGAGAATCGGAACTAATCGTTACCTAGCTTAGCAAGGTTGGAATTGGTATCGATTCCGGCATGATTCTCTAAACCTAAACTTAAATTTGACAACAGTGTATCCTTTTCATTCTACATACAGAATGAAAAGAAGAGACTGATCTTAAATTTAGTTTTAAGTTTAGAGAATCACACCAGAATCGACATCATTGTTGGCTTTTGCGAGCAAAAATACATTCATGCAGTTATGGTGGTCATATGGTTTTTAAGTCTGGCAAGACATGAGGAGAATATTCACATACCGGCTCTCTTCTAGACATTGTGATTGTGGGCAAAAAATATTGAAATATTTGGAATGTAATAAATGTTTCATAATGAATTCCCCTGTTTTATTAATGTTGGGGCGTTTTAGTACTTATACCTTTTAAATTTAAAATAACTAAAGACCCCCGGGATGCAATTCAATGCGCTTTGGCACAGATAGTCATGACTATAAGAGCTTTCAAACAAATGTAGTTAAGGCCGTGGCTGACGTGGGTGCAGCGTTCACACATTTTTGCCCAATGTCCTTTCTGTAGCATGGCGGAGCTCTAGATCGTAAACTTATCGTCATAAGACCAGTGACCAGCCCTTGTTAAAATAAAATACATTAGTCTTACCTTTCAAAATATGCTTCTTCTTTAACTAGCCATTGCACCCATTCTATTGCTTTTTTTTCATGTTCTGGTGCAGCTACCAAAATTTAAAAGAATAATGTTATTATAATAGATAAATATTAGGTATGAGCATGATGATGATACTTAGAGCATATACGAATGGAGATGCCATACCGTTCACTCGTCAAACAAAATTTTCCGGCATTTTTGGCGCGGGACGAGGTACTATAGACTACGACTATAGCACACTAACGAAAATATACAATACTCCCACAAACACGAGCGTGTTGTTGCTATAAACGCACACTTCAAAAATTACGTCACACAAACAAAAAGACGCAGACGCGCTAACAATTTTTATGTAACTATGCAATTGTTCGAGTGTACACTGTCCCATCCCATCCCATCCCTAAGGATAGGACATTAAAAGAATAAGTAAAATATTTCCAACACGCACCAATTAAGAAGCATTTTTGCGGGCCGGCAAGGTGAGGATGGTTGGTGTAGCAGTTTATGGTAGCTTTCCAATTACAGCATTATAGCGCATTATGCGGCATAATGCTTAACGTTGAGTGTTCCAACTACAGCAACGCTTCGCACAATTGAGCACTCTCAAAAGTAATGCTTTCGTGTGATGCGTGCAATCGTACCAACCCAGTGACAGAAAATTAACAAGTGTTTTTTCTTTAAGTTGGCATTGATCGAAATGTTTTATTTATATGTTATCGTAAGTAATATTATTTATTGTTGAAAAATTATTAAAGCTTTCGTTTCATTAAATAGTTTTTTTTAAACAATCAAAGTTAATTCAAACTGTTAAAAAAATAAATATAAGTATGGATGAAGGTACAAACATTGACTTTTTTTTTCAACACTGAACTTAGCGCACTCTGCTGGTGCATTTGAAAACTAATTCACGTTCCAATTAAGCATCAGCATAATTCGGCATTGTGCGGCACTGAGTCGCATTATGCTCTGTAATTGGAAAGCAACCTATAACTGGTGTACCAGCTATCTTCGCGTTTGGACTTTATCACCACTTAACATCAGGTGGGGTAGGGTCATTTGCCTAACTAAATATATAAAAAAAAAAAAAAATTGCCTAGCCTCAAAGTAAACACTGTAAGGCTTGTGTTATGGGATACTAGGGTAACGGATAGAATACATATACTGCACATTTATAGGTATATTTATATAGAAGTACATATTAAACATCCATTACTGGAGTACAAATGCTAGCATTCATAACACTAACATCTGCCCCCACCGGGATTCGAACCCGGGACCTCTCGAGTCGGCGACACCATGAAACCCGGCGTACAAACCACTCAGCCACGGAGGTCGTCTAATGAATGAGAATGAACGATATTTGAATGAATAGTTCTTGATGAATGAACATAATGTTTGTTTATAATGAAATCAAAAATTTTCATTTATAAATATCTATCTGAAAGTTTATTTATAGCTTTAGTCTTATGATTTTTATGCACAATTCTAAGTATTTTTTGGAAATTATATTGCTATGCAAGATTTTTTTTAAACTGAGTTTGCTTTCTTTTATCCGATACTCTGCCCACATTTTGCTTGCTTGCATTGCTTTGACACCCTTTATACCAGAATACTAACTTTTTAGAACTTAAAAATACTTGTACTATATGATAGGAAATACCATGTTTCAGCAGGATTGAAGTGACAGATCGGTTTTTGCGTGGAAAAACCACATAATTTTCCAATTTTGTGTGAGCTCCGACTCGTGATGCGGAACAATCCAAAATGGTAGCGTCCGCATGTGAACTAGTTTTATATAACGCATAAAACTAGTGAGACCGATGGCCACGTACTTTGCCAGAGGGGCCCGCCTACGCCATTTCCATTGGTATATGCTCTAAGTGATGATTTGATAACATGCACTTTATTTGACAGTATAATCAAATGAGATCTTCGTGGTCTTTTTTCAAATGAAGTTTTGTTTAAAGATTCTAAAGCCATGTAAAGGCGTTTTTCTATAATGAATTTCAGATATTTTTTACTTACTATATGCTACTACTTGTGAAATAAAATAGCTTACCCATTAAAGATGGACATGCGAGAAGCATGCAGAGACTCAGAGACACAAATCTTACACCTGCTGGTGTGGGTGGAGGTTTTTGAGTGACTAGTCTCAGAAGTCCAGCTACTTCATCATCTTGAAACTTAATTCCAGCAATGCCTCTGAGAGCACAGTACAGACGCAATAGTGCAGAGGCTTCTACACCAGCAATGGCATTCTTCAGTCTGTTTAATAGCTCTTGTCTCAATTTTGTGACTGCTACATGACCATCACCTTTACCTCTTTTGTGTGAATTTCGTAAAAATGTTGCAAACCATGCTCTAGTTGTTTGGTCAGAACCCAACAATAATCCAGACATAAAAGATACCTGTAAGAAGTTCCAAATATAAAAATGGTGAAAAAAAAATGTGTGCGTGTACTAGTGAACACACGTAAGAAGTGAAACTTCTTTATGGCCTTATTTTTTTCCAAAAATGATCTACATGCAATTTTCCAGAAATATATATATAGGCGTGCGCTAAGATTTTTCAAAAACTCACCCACTAAAGGGGTATAACTACACCTTACCTTACCTTACCTTGTGTGAAACACGAATATTTGCTGTCGATACTTTTTTTTTTTTAAAGTTGACAGAAGAAGCAATTGTTCGGATGAGGTAAATAGTGCTCTTTTAAAAAAAAGATGGCGCGTAACCAAAAAACGTGACGCGTAACCGAATAAAAATGTGACGGTAAATTTTTTTCCAACGCCGATAAAGAAGTTTCACTTCAATATTTTATTTATACAAGGCACAGAAAAGTTGAATGTAAGAGGAGTTCACTTTCGAATATCAATTTGCTGATCCAGCTATCATTATCATGGCAATCGCCTACCCTGTGGATTATGTTTTTTCTACATACCAAATCATCCTGATGATGAGTAAGAGTGAGATTAATGATTAGGGAAGGCAAGCGTGATGCAAATGCTGCCTTCGATCTAACAGATGCAGCTATGTAAGGACAAGCATCACACAGAGTTGCGAGGGCTTTGGTACGCACACCCCCCTCTTCTCCTCTTTCTGCATTCATTACTAATGATTCTGCCACTAAAACATAATGAAATATTAAAAGAGTATTGGTGACCATTATAGTTCATACAATAGTCATTTATGTAACTGTACCTAGTCCAGCCATAAGTTCTGTTACAAATGAAAATGCATTTTTTTATGTAATATTATTAAAATTTATGCCTACATATTTATTAAAGTCACAGCAAAAAATAAAAAAATATTCTATTCGAAATGGCCACCTTTGGCTTTTAAACAGGCAATTAATCTGTTTGGCCTTTGTCACCGTGTCTTTTAGAGCAGGCCATGTCCTCTTAAACTGATCATAATTTGAAGTCTAAAGGGCTAGATGACGACCAGTCTTCAGCTTCAGGAAAGGTGGTTTTAAGCCAGGCTTGGGTAGTCCGTGCTTTGTGCTGAATCCTGTAAAGAGGATATTTCTATGCTTTTCACCTGGGTATCGCGCCAGAAGGCGTTTTGATCGATCCACTCTCTTTAATTGTAAAGATTGATTTAGGGCATGTCCTGTGTATATCCTGACGATATCCAAGACCTGCCCACCCTAGCATGAGCACTGCGATATGATATTTATCGCGTTTTTATCACGCTCAATTGTCAAATTACGCGTGATAAAAACGCGTTATATATCACATCGCGGTGCTCATGCTAGGGTGGGCAGGTCTTGTTTTATATTACGCGACAGAGGCCTAGCGCGAATCTTCATTTCTTGCGATAAGATTTTTGCTTACTCATGGGGTTTCGACGAATTCTGGCTTTAACAGCATTAACAGCCTTTGTAGTTCTACAGCAGCACGCGGCCGCCCCGATCTTTTCTAGTCTTTGACAGACAAAGTGTTGTTGTATCTATTGATAGTACGATATACGAACATACGGCTGATACCAAGCTTTTGTAGTGTCTGGAATCCGAAGACTTCATACCCACATTGTGCAAGGCGATCACTGCTATCCTATTTTCTTTAACACCCCATTCCATATTGTAATTTGATAATGAACACGAAAAAATATGTGAATAGCGCAAAATCGAAAGAAGTTTTTAAAATAATATAGGGTCAGTTCGCCTGTGCGCGTCCATTTGGTGCAGTTGGAAAGTTTGACGGCGATAATAAAAATATCCCAGCACTTATTTCTATGAAAAAATTATGTAATGTGTTCATTATATAGCCTATTTTAAGATTAACTTTCAGTTTTGTTCGAAACATCTATTGTTTTTTATTTAAATAGATAAACTTCGGAATAAGGCGTTTTACCCACTTTGCGTCCACAAAATCCAAATTGCGTCCACTCGTGGACCATTGAGCGTCCACCACCTTAGAAAAGGAATATAGGGTGATATTTTTAAGAATTTGTATAGAAAGATTGTACCTATTTTAAAAATTTCTTTATTTTAGAATATAAATATTAAAACCAAAATTATTATCATTAAAATTATCACTTTAAAAAAAAATCTTCTCAATATTGATTGAATTTAAAATTGTATAAGTACCTACTACTTATACTAAATAATGATTGCATCCTTAAGAATAAACAGCGATCAGTTCTGTTAATTTTACCCTAAAATTACAAGGTACGTTTTTCTCATCGTCGTCTTTTACATCTGAAATTAGTATATTCACATCTGAAATTAGTATATTAGTACATTCAGAAAATTTTCTTTCTTAAATTCCTGAATTACAATTTCCTGTGTGACTTCTTGAAGAGCATGTATCTTCTTCTTTCGTTTTGGAGCAGTTTTACGAACCGTTTGAGAGTGTTTTAAACTCTGTTCTTGTTTTTCTATTCGTTCTAACTTTCTTTTTAGTATTGCTTCCTGCTTTTCGTTCTTGATCTGCACTTTATTTTCTTAATACTAACTCCATGCAGCAGAAGATATGGTTGCTAGAGTTCTTTGATTATCTTTTCGTGCTTTGTTAGAAATTTCGGGTAGCATCAAGTGGTGTCTGTCTGGTCCCGGTTTCTTTTCTTCATTTGGTCTGCGCCCACTGATTTTAGACAGTATGTCTATGTGTCTTACCGATTTATTATTTTCTCGAATTTCGCTTTCTTTAAATCGTCTTCTGTGTATATTCTCTTTTCCTTCTACTTTCTTGTCTCCGAAGAACTCATCTCAAATAGAAAAAAAATAAGAATGAAACAAATAAAGTATTTGATTGATTGATTGAAATTACTCATTTCTTTTAAAAATAGCATTAAAAACACGTAGTCTTAATAAAAATGTATAATAATAATAATCAATACCTATATTTTGAATTATAATTAATTAATTGTATTTAACGAAAATAGTGGACGCAATTTGGTTTATTATTATCCCCTGTAGGTATAGTTTGCGTCCATTGCGGACGCAAATTGGAAGTTTTGTAATTTCGATGTAGCAATTCGCGTCCACCTTATTTTATACATTAAATATAAAAAACATAAGAAAACTTATAATTAATATCATTCCTTTCTTCACTATAAAAGTCTAGAAACAGCTATGTATCCTAAAATTAACATAAAAAAATAAAAAACTTACCATCGAACGCGCCGCTGCACACTATTTTTTATCTAAATATCCCGCGTGTACGCACTCCCTTGATGAATAACCGAGACTAATTTTTTTTTAAACGGGATTGTTTGGCGCACCTACCTTTTGACCATGTGTTCGTGCCTCTTATATATTAAGGTATTAGCGGTAATTACTTTTCGTTTGATTAGTGTGTTAGTTTACTTATTTCTGAGGATTTTTGAAGGTTGATCCGTAAAATGGACGCGAATTGGGCGATGGACGCGAACAGGGAACTGACCCTACGTGTTCTAAATTCAAAATAATTAGTCGAAAAAATATTTTTAAGCAACAGTATTTATGGCCAGAGTAGTTATAACTAAAATAATGATGGGTATTAAAACAGGAATGTGTTGTTTATCACACAAGGCGTAGGAGTGTGATAATATTATCACAAAAGTGTTTTAATACCTAATTATAAACAGTGGCATACAAGACTATCTACACCCATGATATTAATACTCTATAAAAGATTCTTAAGCCATGGTGCATTTTTAAATCTTTTTTCCATTTTTGCTGGCATGATCGACATATTCGATCATGCCAGCTCCATCTTAGCCAAATCTTATTCTAAATCAACTTAATACTAGAAATTGCAATATTGATAACAATTTTAGTGGCTTCTGAAGAAGGCTCAGCTAAGAAATTGGTCATATTACCAACATTCTGTTCATTTCAGTGTTCAAATATTTATATTTGGATACCATGGTACTAACGGAGGATGGAGGACTCATGGTACTAATTTGAGGGACACTGGCCTGCGCCTGTAGCTGCCTTTATTTAGAAATGCTGTTACTAGGGGACCTTTTACTTTTGCCACTTTGAAAATCTCCATTGACTTGCCTCCTCCTTTATGGCAGTCTTTTAATATCTCTTCTCGTCTTTATTAATATTCCTAACAATCCAATCCATGAAAAGTTTCGGGAGTGAAATGCGCATGAGTGACAAAGATTCTTTTTTTAATTCATAACACCACTCATTGAAACTTGGAAAAAGAATCTTGCTATGATTGAGCATTTGCGCGAAAAGGCTTGAAAAAGCAAAGGAGTGTTATAATGAAATTTTGTACAACATTAAAAAAACATTTTTAACCTGGTTGGGTGATATTGATTTTTTATAAAACATTGAATTTTTTAATGTCGGCAAATAGTTAACTGCTTTAGAATCTTTCATAGAGGTTTTAGAGCATGGGTGTAGACAAAAAATATTAAACTTTACTTACCTTCCTGTAAGGTATCAGGCATGTTAGCAACTACCCATGATATTATAATAGGACCTTTGTTGACATGAAGAAGAACTTCTACAACATCACAAATATTTAATAGGTTTGGTAGTTCTGCAAGACTAATACAAATGACATCAGTGATTTCTTCCAAATACACATCATTATCAAATAGTTCTGATGGTTTAACTGATGTCTCTAAATTAGAGGTCTTATTTTGATTATATTCAGTAAGTTGAGCTTGCATTTGAAGTATTTCTGATAATACAAGTCTTACTCTACGAGCTGAGTCTGATTGCTCAAAATCACTGGCAATTCCATTTACAATACTTGGAACCAAAAATGACTCCGTGCATTGAGAACCATTTTTCTGTCTGTAACAAAATTGGCAAATTATCATGTTTTGCATACAGGTTCCACTGTATTGAAGTAATTGTGCTAAATTGTGCTATTATTTATAACTTTTCTGCAAAATTAAGATAATTACCTCATTTGTTGTTCTTTCTTTAGGTCTACTTCTAATGCATGGAATTCTATAGATAATAAGGATACAATAAAATTGACCAAATCTATTCCCGATAGCAAAGTGAGGATGTCCTTTTTAGCTTCGGCACAATATCGGGTTATATCTAAAGGAGATATAAGGGCCATTCGTACAAGGCAAGGTATAATGGGTCTTATTTCGTCTGAAGAACATTTCATCAGAGTATCAACATCTACATCTTTAATAGCTTTAAAAACGTGTGGTTGCACATGTTTCATAAAAACCACATCCATAATTATACCACAAGTTTTATTTTGCAAGTTAAAATTTCACTTCTCTGGAATAATCCAGCCAACAGTAAAATAATCAAAGTTCCCAAACTTGCCAATTTTCACTACAGTACATTACGTACTACACTACAAACTACACAAATCCATTATTGACATTGAATTTAATTCAGAGATTTTCAGAGAAATTTCAGCATTCTTCCTTCAATAACCTGAGTTGCGTTGAAAACCGACGCTCCAGGTGCAGGTGCAACAAATATCAGATTTGACATAAGATTTGTAGCGTTGTCTTCATGTTGTAGACTCAATTTTAAAACGTCAGGCTAAAAAGTTGCGTTTTGAGCATAGGTTTAGAACGGAGGTCTGGCAAAAAAAACATTGGTGGCATGTTATTTATGATAATAGTGACGCGAAAAGTCAACCTTTTATCGAAAAAAACTTAAACAGTCAGACCACGATAAGTCTGCAGTGGATTGAGAGTAGCAAAAATTAAAACTTTGCACATGGCAGTACTAATTACAGTTTAATAAACAATCGGACAGCGTTGCCAGAAAGTCCCAAAAGGGACGATTTTCGTCCCTTTTGGTTGCTTTCCAATTACAGAGCATAATGCGACTCAGTGCCGCACAATGCCGAATTATGCTGATGCTTAATTGGAACGTGAATTAGTTTTCAAATGCACCAGCAGAGTGCGCTAAGTTCAGTGTTGAAAAAAAAAGTCAATGTTTGTACCTTCATCCCTATTTATATTTAATTTTTAACACAGTTTGAATTAACTTTGATTATTTAAAAAAACCTATGATGAAACGAGAGTTTTAATATTTTTTCAACAATAAATAACATTACTAACGATAACATTTAAATAAAACATTTCGATCAATGCCAACTTAAAGAAAAAACACTTGTTAATTTTCTGTCTTTGAGTTGATACGATTGCACGCATCACACGAAAGCATTACTTTTGAGAGTGCTCAATTGTGCGAAGCGTTGCTATAGTTGGAACACTCAACGTTAAGCATTATGCCGCATAATGCGCTATAATGCTGTAATTGGAAAGCTACCTTTGTCATCAAAGCGTCCCTTCGATGTCCTTTTACATATTCCGTCCGTTTTCAATAACGCTCCACTGCAACATTATACGAATGAATTTCGTTTCAATCGTTGATTTATTTTACTAAATTGCAATCACAATACGTTGTACATTGTCAACTTTGTTCGTCAAATCACCAAGTAAACTACATAGAATCCAACGCTCGCTATGCCTACGTTTAATATATACCTACTCAATGCTCAAACCCACCTACCACTATCTTACATAATAAAAACTTTTGTTTTTGAGGTATGTTTCAATTATGAATATAATAACTTAGGAATAAGTGTTTACTTTGTAAAGTCTGTGATACGTTCGTACCACCATGCTGTACCTACATCATAGTGGATAGTCCTCCGTACCATCTTCTTTATTTTATTGGGTGCCCTAAAAAATATAACTAATATGGCCGTTTGAGGTATATATGTTTTTTTTATATTTAAATGTATTATGGCAGAACTACACTTATCTGTCGTGTATGTTGTAATGCATCAGAGAGCTATCTGTTTCATAAATTTAATATGGTTAGAGTGAGATGATATGACAAAATCAAAATGACATAGAATATTATAAACAATGAAACGGGAAAATCCAAAACCCGCAATAATAATTATAACTTAAATATTGTTAATAAAAAAAGGGTAAATTCAAAAAATCAAAAAACCCGACTGCTTAAATATTACTTCAAATTAAAACTGAAAAGAAAAAAACAAGTCCAGTAGTCTATAATGCTGTTAAGTAAAGGAGCAAAGCTACTTTAACAAACGGGGCCCATTAGATATTCAAGGATGGATCAATTTTTTTTCAATAATGGGTCCCGACTGTTAAAGTAGCTTTGTTCCTTAATTAACAGAATTATAGACTACTGGACTTGTTTTTTTCTTTTCAGTTTTAATTTGAAGTAATATTTAAGCAGTCGGGTTTTTTGATTTTTTGAATTTACCTGTTTTATTTAACACTTTTTAGTTAAGATTATAAGACGGTATATACTGCAGTCTTTTCACTTCATTAAGGGGGTTACTATCAAGCGGATTATTAAGTACCTTGCGGTAGTCTAAACAACACCCTACCATCAGGGTCAAGGCCTAATGGGCCTCAATATTCGCAAAAATGTGTAAATTTAAATCAATTCCTTATCCGTATACCTAATGAATGTAAATTATATACTTAACTAGTATTTATTTTCCGTATTTATTCAAAAAGTCATCTTTTGCTTAGTTCTTTTTAGTAGTAAATAAAAAAAATCATTTACTTTAATTCGTCAACTATCTAAAATTGGCAGTGGCTGTATGCAACTTTAAGATTTGTTTCTTAGGTTTTCACGCACATCACTCATTAAATAAAACTAGTTTTATTGCAGACTTGCGTGTGAACATGCATTAGGGGGACCAAACCATTACATTAGATTTGATAAATCACAGATCCTTGCAGCTGAGCGGCGGTTCGTTCCTCGAATGATGCGCGAGGCTATTGAGATTAAAAAATATCCAAATTTCAATAGGGAAGATGGTTGGTATATACCACCAGCATGGGAACCTATTATACAGGAGATAAAATCCCAACCTCTAGCACACACTGCAAGACCATCAGATACTATTACTTCTTTTTGTTTGCATAATTTAACATACGAAGGAGATAGAAAGCCTCTCTTGAGTTTGTTTCGCCGGTTCTTCTCGGAAAGGTCTCCCAATTTTGGAACCGGTGGTAGTTTACGGTAGTTAGGGTCAAATAAATAAACACAAAATTACAAAACAGAATTTTAAATAAAATACTTTATTAAGTAAATTAAATAATAAATTCATACATAGACAATAAAACTTTAAAAATCGAACAATGAAATAACCGAACGCTCAATAAAATTCTTTCGAAGGTAGCTCGACAAATTAAATAAATGTTTAATTCTGACGACGTAGCCTGTAAAGGCAACGAAACGTCAATAAATAAATAAAGTTTCGTGAATTAACCCGTAAAAACTAGTTTTATTTAACTTTAAGATTGTGATATACACAAATGCAGTGCATATCCTTGTCACCACATAATTTGTTTTACTTACATAATTCATAGAACCAAATATAACTTTTATTGTTTTTGCAGTGCATCCCAAAATGGCTCGCAGATGGGAGATTTTTTCCGTCTCACGTGACACTTATTTAAAATATAACAACATAAAATATAATCTATATGCTATTAATATGTATGAGCTTTATTATTGGTTAGTTTAATTTATAATAATTTGTTTCTTAGAAACAGCGATGTTCACACACTTAATACAATTAGCTTTACCTGCTACTAGGCTTCACAAAATCAATAATTCATTTATAGGTCTTTGTGATTGCTTATACAATAAAGTCCCAAGCAATATCCAAGAGTTAACCATATACGAGTATAAATTCAGGATAGTATAAAAAAGTGATTAGGTACTATAAAAGATTATTACAAAGTGTCTGATAATATTACAGACAAAAATGGTTGGGTATGAACTGTTCCAATCATTCCAACAGGTTTTCTATATTAAATAAATCATGATTGTATTGACGTTGTAACAACATAATGATTTGTAAATGTTGTTACATTATACTTTTAATGTTGTGGAGTTTTTTATCGCTCGCACGTTTTTCTCCGCAGCTAAAAAATATGTCCAATAACGAGTGGTAGGGAAAAAAAATTTGGACGATTCAAAAGAGTTCTACTATACATCAAATTTGAATAAAGATATATTGATTTTTGAACGCTGTCGAGACATCGCGACACACAAATATAGTTCTAACCGTACTAAATGTATGAAGCAGATTGCGTCACAACACAACACGTAAGATAAATATATTTCTGCAGGCCCGTCCTTTTTGTCTAAAAATCGTCCCTTTTCAGATTCTGAATCGTCCAAACACGGAGCACCCCCACTAGAGTCCGCATCACACAAATTTTGTTTGGAATCAAAATCGCCAAAGTCGGCGGCGTGCAGGGAGGTCAGCCCCGTTGTGATTGGACGCGTCAAGATCAGATCATATACTCAGTGCAGCGAAGTGATGAGGGTAAGATCGATTTTAGAAAATGTCGATATTTCCTATCGATAAAGAATTTAGTATAGAGGCCTAGTACTTTGGTGCGTTCTAATTACATGAGGCGACTAGTAACTACAAACTAAATAATATACAGGGTGAAATTGAATGTTTCTATGAAACTTCGTGAGATTATTGCGTTACGTGTATAGAGTATACCTGATTTTTTTCAGATTTTTAAAATTATTTTTTTCGTTTTTTATTTTATTTTATTTTGCATTTTTATGTCCTTTCCTCCTTTTGAGTGATAATTATTTTTAAAAAAGGAATTAATAGTAAGTGAAATATAACAAATAAATAAGCACTACTAAAATAAACGAAAAATAGTTGATGTGGCCAGGCGAGGCCGACGCCGGGGGGAACGACCGCGCGCGCACAGCTGACGCGGCGCGTACCTATCTACAGTACAGTGAGACTACGACCTTGAGATACTGTGTTCATACTAAACAGCATCTCAAGATCGCTCTCAGAGTTGAGATCGTTCTATTCATACGGGCAATACATACATACATATTACATATTACAATGACAAAATTTAAATAAAGAACAAGTGTTATGTTCTCATTAGCAGAGAAAAATACCTAAAAAGTTAATAATAATTTTGTTACAAAAACAAATACTTATTGCAGTTTAATACTTGGGTCAGAAAGAAATTTATAACTAGGTATGAGACAGTACTTACGAGACCGGCGATGTAGGTAGGTACAACGAGGAACGAGGAACATATTCATTTTTTTCACTAGAACTTTTTATCAAATCAATCACACTGGTAGTACACTAATTAGTTGTTTCGAATCAAAAAGTATTAACGCTAGCAAAAAAAAGAGACTAAAATTATTATTTGCAAAGTTATTGCACTATACTTGCCTAAAGCAAGCCTTGCGGCTCTACTGAGCACTTCGTCACACTCGCGATAGCAGTACACCATTTCTAAATATTCTTGGTTCGTATACCGAGGCATAATGAAATTATCACAGTGTTTGTCACTAAGTCAAAAGATGCGCACGCGCGATTGATATACTTGCGACTGCCCTTTGCATGCATTGCAATCAAAGCAAAGTACCGCGCGCGGGGAAGAGGGGAGGTGGGCGGGCGAGCGTCGGCGTACATAAAAGGTAGGACTTTTTAAGGTGCTTTCACATAATCATGCCGAAATAGCCCGCGCCGTACTACTTACTAAGACTAAGACTAAAGTAAAGCTTTGTATTTCTATAGTCAAACATTTACAAAAAAAAACTGCCGTTGATATTTGTTACTGCCTCAGTAAGGCACCTCGCGCACTAGACGATAATGACCACGACCAGGAGCCGCGA